TGAACCCTGCAAGCATGAGGTTGAAAAGAGGAGCGATTGGAAGTTTTATATATATACACACATAAGTGCCTATAGTGAGAAAGGCTTTGTGCCTAGTGGTCCTTTGCCTCAAGATGAGATCAGTGTGGAAGACAGTTGTCCTGCAATGCATTTTTTTTGCCTTGTGTCAAGGGCTTTCTGGTTTTCTCCATGTTGTCAAAACGAGGGAGTTTGCTCCAAATCTGGTGATGGAAATCGTAGATAAAGCCGAAACCTCTTTGGATTCACCACGCATGCAGAAAGCTTCAGATTCCATGACTCGTGGTGAGGCCAGCAGCACGTTGCTGACCAGTGAGCGGGGAAGGCCTTACGAAGCTTGCTTGAGCAATGGGAGGGCGGAACTTATCGACCAAAGCATTTTCCCCAAAGGATTGTGGTCTTAAAGAACTGGCTTCAAACCATGATTATGTACTGTAATTTGGAATTTGTGGCAAACCCATCCAGTGAGGCTGAGCAGCTGGGGGAGTCACTTGGCTGAGAAACTGTGCTGGATTTGTGGTTCGAATTGAGGTTGGAGATGGTTGGAGTTTGGGTGAAATCATTGGACGTGCAAATGAAATTCTGGGTGAAATCAAGGAACTTCATGGCATCAAACCATGAAGGAAAGAAGATAGCATGATTGTTTGAGATAGATGTGGACACCTGGTGTCTTTCACGTGCGATCTGGTCGACTTTTATAAACGTTCTGCACAGGGCACCTCAAATGTGAGGAGTCACGTTTAGATATGTATTTGCTGGCGGTTTGATGGGTTGCTTGGTGACGGCAATTTGACATTTTAAACTGATTTCTGTTGCATTGTTGTTGTTTTTCTTTGATGCTCGTGCTGATGCTCTGCGAATTAACTTGCTTCGGGAATACTCGGGGGTGGGTGTATACTGAGTTCGTTGTCACTGCACTTTGTGAAGCAACTTGGACCACGTCGTGTAGAAGACCTTTCGTTTTGGTCCTAGTCACTATACAAACTCTTTCAGCATTTTTTCGTCCATGTGTCACCACAGTCTCCTCGCTTTTGTTCGAGACCTTTTGTTTGATTCACCACATTCCCATTCACCACGGTCCTCCTCCTTCTCCTTCTCCTCCTCCTCCTCCGTCTGAGCTGTACCTTCAACCTCCATGATGAATGCAGAAAATGAGCTAGTTTCGATGCGCTGACATGAGGTCTTCAAAAAATATGCAGAAATCGCATGTTTACAAAAGCACTTGACATAAAATTGACCTTGCCTTGAATCAACAGCATTATATAAGATCTCTAAACTTGCCCGCCCTAGAAGGGCTACCTGACCTTGAATTTGCATTTGTCTCTATTTGAGCCTTGAACTTTTCTCTGTTGAGGCTGCATGTGATCGCCAAATACCGCCAAATGTGCCTGGGACGTTCAGCGTTTCTCAAGCAGACTTGGTATGCCCAGGTCTGGGTTGTTCAGTTGGGGTGGTTGTAGTGATGAACGGCCTACAAGTTTGTTTGTTTGTTTTCTTTGTTTGTTTGTTTGTTTACTCGTCCTTATATGGCTCTGCCGCGAAAGCGTACTTGGGTTGTTGGGAGTGGGACACTTCTCCAAAGGGCCATGCAAGGGTTGGCGAGAGGTGTTCGCTCCTGGGATGGCAATGTTCATTTTGTGGAAAACGCTGCTACCCACTTTGTGGTTGTGAACCGGTACACCGTACAAGTGGATGTGGACGCATTGAGCCTTTCGGCATGCCGGAGTTGGGATCTCAAGCCATTGTCGTTAGATTCTCAACTCTAGCTGAAGTCGTATGCCAGAACCCTTGTTTGGTGAGGAAAAAGGACAGACAGCCAGACAGCTTGTTCTGTTTTTGCGATAGTTGAGCCAAACCTATGTGCGTCATTGTTGGGAAACTCTTCGCCACTCGAGGATCATGAACTTTTTGCCGCTAGTGGCCTTGGTGCCCATAACGGTGTGCCAAAGCAGGACAGACAGCACCGGAGGAAATAGGGTAATTCCGCAGTATTGGCAACATGAAGAGACAGAGCACAGTTCATGCACATGCATCTAGACATCCCTTGCAGACTTGGATCAGCAAGATGTTCGTACATACGTTTCCGGTCAAAACTATATCCGAAAGGAGACATAGTAGCTCCTTACAGTCTATGTCATTAGGAACACCAGGACCTATGATCAGACCAGAGTGTTTGAAGACCGAAGGGTGCATGCAAAGTGGAAGAGAAACCAACCGTGACCGTTGGCTTGCAGGCAGGTCCGTATATATATTTATATATATATATATAGTTCCAATATTTGACCAGGAGAGATGCGAGACTAAGGCCTAGAGCAAACACATCTCACTGCATAGGCTGTTGACCACCCGGCAAAAGCGGTGCTGTCTCCAGGATGACGCAGCGACGCCCGCTTTCTGCCATGTCTTTTTTGGAGACCTCGGGCATTCTGTTGCATCTTGACTTGTCAACAGAGCGAATTGTTTGTGCTACGAAGATCCATCTACTAGAATGCGTGCGCTTCAGGTTGGGCAAGGTGTCGCAGCACCTTGGCGTGAATGGTTGTCCCAGGTGTTTTGATATTGTTTTTTTTTTTTGTAATGTATATATTAGATAGGAAAATTGTGGTCGTATTTTATCTCCGTCAGCCATTTTCCCTGCCTACTGATTCGTTTGGCATTTTGAAAGTTGTCTTTATTCAAGTCAAGTCTAGTCTCAGCTTGTGATTCTAAAGGTTCAGGTCTGCCCAGTAGGTCAGCTGTGGATACGAACTGCGATTCTGCTCCCAACAGCACAATCTAGCGCCGCCAACTTTAAGTTAGTCAAATCCACTCTTTTGAGTGTGACGAGACTCTGGCGATTGTGCCAGGTGGGGCCTCATGCTGACCTATGTCCTTTATGCAGGAGCCTCAAGGGGACGAATAGGATAGTTTTGAATCGGTCACAAACAGCTACTCCCACAGTACACACCCTCAGTCGTTTGAGGTCGGAAGCTATGCGATGGACTTCTGGGCTCTTTCAAGTCCTGAGACGCTTGGGACAGAATGTGAAGGACGCTACTAGGGGCTCCTGGCCTTACTAGTAGTAACAAGAACGCTACTAGGAACAAGTGCCACGCTACTAGGAGCAAGAAGCTACTAGGGTGCTCCAAGATGTTCATCCTTTCGCAGGTCCTGGGTCTCCAAAGCAACCATGCCAGATTGGGTTAAAGGAGTTTGATTTGATAGTAATCGCACAACATGAGCCTTCAATTTTGGAAGTAAGTCTTAGGGAATAGTTCCACACAGCAGATGGTGGGGGCACTTTGTAGTTATTTTTCTCATGATAGAGACGCGAAGGTGTCTGAAAGGATAAAGCAACAACTGCGGGACAGTCTAAAGCTGATAACGCCCTCCATCCTTCTACTGACCTTCAACACCAATTGCCAATTGCTCTTTCAGCCAGAGGCAACTGGAGGAAGAGCTCATTTGATGCAGGAACACTAGGGTTGCAATGCGAGCCTGAAACTGAAGCTTGGTTTCTGAGGTTCTTCGCATTTCGTACTCAGCCTGTTTCAACAAATGTCATGTTCATGTTAGGTTGAATGCAGGAGAGCGGTTGAAAATCTACAGCAGCTCTGCTCTGCACTCAAAAAACCCGCGCTAAAACGCGAAAAAAAGTGCTGCTCAAACTAACTTCCATTGCAGGACACGGGCTTAAAGAGTCCTCCGAGCAAGTGGAAGATGTGCTGCTGCAAATACCTTTTTATGGCCAATCCAACAATGGCAAGAGTTGCTTTATATGAGACATCACATCACATGGCTTCTCTTTGCGCCCCTGCCAGGCTAGACCAGTTGTGGGCAACGTTGAGGCACGCATCCTCAAGCAAACAGGGGTGTGTCAATTCTATTATGAGTATTAGAGCCTTTTAGGTCCTCGTTGTAGTAGAGCGGTATCAAGTTCAATGGAGCTTCTAACTTCTGAGACCAGCGGCCAGCGTGAAAAAGGTAGGTTGTCAGCTAGATTCTTGGTTTAACTTAAGTATCTAACTAGGGTGTTGGATGGATGGAAGAAGACAGGAAGGTAAGGCCCCTTCACGGATGCCTTACCTGACGAGATTGGGGGTTGCGTTTCAGAATCAGAATTCCCGAAAGAATGTTGGTTGTCTCCTTTCTTGCAGGTTTCCAGCTATTATTGAAAGCTCCATTCACTGTGAGACAAACAAAGTTCAAAAGATCTTTGGACGCGTACACACGGTTTACATGAAGTCCAGCGGGCTTTCTTTTCATGAGGTACTCCTGCGTGGACGAGTGGCTGAGGCGTGAGATGCAACTGCTATGTGTGAGATGAGTCTGGACACTGTCTCAACAAAGGGAACTATTTGACCTCTGGATTGTAAGTAGTCTTGGGGTGCTTCATGCAGCTGATGCTGCAGCTGGGTTCAGAATGTAAAGCCAAAGGAGTCACTCTGTCCATAATAGCCTAGTAGCCTTGTCCAGCCTGATTTGCAGGGTCCACCCTGCTATGGGTAGCGACCTGAGGAGCGTGTGGTCAAGAAGTGAAGTGCCGGCTGTAGAGTTTCTGAAGATTGTTCTAGATGGAGAAGAGGTTCGCTGGTGGCATTTCATCAATCTTGCATCCTGCTATTAAGACTTTCTTTTTATTGGACTTCTGGAGTTTGAGGCTTGGCACCCTGTGTTCTTTGAGGCAGAGGGTAATTTCATGTAATTTCTTACTTGCCTAGAAATGACTAGAGGTGTGCTGGAAACCCTGCAATTCTCGATAGATCCGAGTCAATCTAAAAGACACCACATTGAGGTCTGCATAGAATCTACTTGGCCGTGCTGAGGCTGAGACCCTGTGAGGCAAATGGCCACCTTTACCTCATTGTCTTCGATGACGAAGAGGCTCACGGCTCACTGGTTTGGTGGCTGGGTATGGGTCAAAACCTCCAACATGAGGTGAAGACCGAAACAATGAAACCAATGACGACCCAGGGGACATGCACTTAACAGTATCTTTGGGTCTCAGAATAGGAGAACTCCATAGTGACCGGGTCCATGTTTTGGGAGGGCTGTCATTTCGAGACAACAGACCCAAAGATCTGATTTGCAATTTTGTGTTTCCCCAGTTTCACCTCCCCCAAAAAACTATACCCGGGTAGACCCCAAGCAGCTTAGTTGAAGAGAATTATTGTTGTCGTGGGCGGACGCAGTCCTCCTTCCCTCAGAAGGATGAGGGAAGGAAAACAGCACGAACACACCAAGAGGACAAAAGCAGGACAAGCCGTGACCGAACTATGGGACCGATCGGGGCTCGCCGGCGCAGCCTGACACTGTGGCCAACATTTTTCCCAGGGGAGAACCTTGCAAGAAGAGGATAACAGGAGGACAAGGAGAGGACATCGGCTTCTGGGGTTGCTTCCTGGAGAGGACAAGACGAGGACAACAGGAGGACAAGAAGAGGGCAACAAGAGAAGAAGAGGACGACAACAGGAGGACAAGGTCTGGAGCAACAGCAGGACAACTGCAGGCACCAGGAGGACAAGAGGAGGACACAGGGTTGACCAGCGCGGCCAGGACAACTGCAAACGCCAGGAGGACAAGAGGAGGACTAATGCCTGACCACAGTGAGACACTCGCCGGCAAACTACGAACGAAGTGAGCGAACGAAAAGGGCATAGGGCATAGGGACTGGGCGTGCACGAACCTAAGAACTGCGTCAACACAACTCGGCCAATTACTGTAATCCGGGAAACTGCTGCGAAGTGGTCGTTTAGCAGGAAGCTGGGCAAGAAAAGCCTGGAAGGTGGAAACTGCAGCGTGCTCAAAAACACACGTGGCCCCTATGCCAGAAGCACAAGAGCAAGCACCAGGACCCCACAGGGATCTCGAGAAGGCCACGCGCTCAGCCGCAGGCCGCAAGCTCATGCAAGCCGCAGGCCCACAGTAAACTGTTTGGGGAACTGTTTCATGCAAGCCGCAGGCTCATGGCCAGCTTGTGCGACATCGCTTTGGGCAGCTCAGCTGCGAGGACTTTGGTCTTTGTGACCCTGACGCCTTTTTGAAAAAGAAAAGCAGGAAGTAGGAGATAGGAGAAAAACTTTGTTTCCATTTCAGGACCCCACGTTTTGTTTCCCGTTTCGTTTCCTTTCTTATCATCTCACCCAACTCCATTCTTGCTTCCACTTTTCTTTGGTCACGGGATTTCAAGTGGCCTGCGGCGCCCACCAGGAGATGGTGAATAGTGCCAGCTGGGCTGTGGCCTCGGGGCGCTTTAGAAAGCGTTAGGGTGGCATCAGAAACAGGGTTGTATTAGCTTTGTTGTTGCTCAATGGGATTGTGATACGATGATACGACTTGACTGGGTTCTTGGAGTGAGCATGGGACGCCCATGAGTTGGGCAGGCGCAGATCATCAAGCTAGATCGCCGGGAAGAGTTCAGGATGTGCGAAACCCAGTGGCCCAGAGTTTCAACTGGGATTCTCTAAAAGTGGTTTAGGGTGGGTGATCACTTGCCGGAAAGATGTGAAAAACATGCCTAAGTGACATCTTTTCGAGGAGCGAGAACATCACCGAGAGCATCCGACCGAGGTTTTGGTGAGCCTCTTCATATTTGTAGAATGTATATATATATATACACACATTATATAATATAATACATGCACATACATACGCCAATTATATATATATACTTGTATACTGTATACAGGTCATGCAGCACTGAGATCCTGGACGCAACTGGATGAACTTTGTTATCATGTGCGTTTAAATGCTTGACAGATAGCTTCAGGCCAGTTCATTCCCAAATCATTCCTTGAAGTATTACATAGGTTGAAGTCCAAGTCCAGAGGCAGAACCATCAAGTCATGTTATTGCAAGCTTGCTCACCCTGTATTGAGAATCCGTTGCTGCAACTGGCCAGGTACTTCACATTTGCGGCTTGTGGCATCAAAATGGCAGCTCGGTTCTTCGCAGAAAGTTTGGTTCCGATGTTTACCCTTCATTGGATGGAACGCTTCTTATTTTTTTCAGGGAAATCATCATGGATGCATGTACTGCAGAAGTTCAAACATAGTCGGTGAGGTCAGGTTGCTGTTGCTCCACTACTGAGGGGCATTCGAAGCGCTTGTTTCGACCTGAATGTACACTACTGAGATAAGTTAGACCTGCAATACCGGATCAAGCGCCTCTTCAGCTAGACGGCCAAGGAAGTGCCAGCTTTCTTCGAGATCCACGCCCAGAATGTGTTACAGGTGCTCAGCGTGAAGACATTTCATTGCAATGTTTGAGTGCGCAGCATATCCGGGCAATCATTTATGCGTATTTTTGTTGTAGCAACATGCAACATGTATGCACATATGCAGGCCCTGAGCCTCTGGCAGGCTTCATGTTGTGACAGTACACCACGGTCTGTTTGACCGCGAGATTTACATAAGCGGTACAAGTGAATTTTTCGGAATGTTTGTTCCCCAAAGAGGAAATCCATGAAAGAAAGCTTTCTCTTGATGCTGAAGGAAGTGCGATCAATGTTCCACTATCCAACGTTTCTTCAGTGACGGTCTTGGTGGCCAGGGCTTCGAGAGCGAGTTTGGCATGGACCAACAGGGCTCCTTGCTGCTGCAGGTGAGAGGCTGAAAGGCTCCCTAGGAATCCTAAAAACCTAGGCCTCCGCGATGGCCTGCAACCTATAGAAACCAAATGATTAGCACGAGCACTTCTTCGGGGGGAGCTTCCTGGAAGAAGCGTGAGCTATCCTGCGTCCAGTAGCTAGTAGCTACCTCTTCCTCTTAGCAGCGTACCCCCGGCCTGGGCTTCAATACAACGATAACTTTAAACCAAAACGATATCATTTTGTGCTATCTCAGATATTCATTTGCAATTTCCGCTTATTAGCCCAGATTGTGTCGAGTCACGAGTATCAGGTGGCTGCGGCCTCAGGTTTTATGGGTGCAGAACCCAGTTCGGATGGGAAGCTGGGGCCAATCTGAGGTCTCAGAAAATTCATGTACATATCAGCCTTAGCATTTTGCAAAAGTGATTATTTTGTTGCCTATTTCATATTTGAGCCTTCAGGGAGTCCATGTTGTCTATTTTATGTTTGAGCTTCTTTTGCTTCTTACTTTTGAAGTACTGCTCAACCTTGAAGGCCCCTTGGTCTTGACAATCCCTTTGCGCCAAACTTGTGTTTTGTTTGCTTCAAACATCATGGACTGCGTTGAGCCCAACAGAATCCCATGATCGAAGCTGACGATACGGCTATCTCAGACCAAGGTTCTACACAAGTTGTGTTTATTTGTCACGAAACCCAGCCGATAGGCTCTGGAGTTGGGATGGGCGAACGAAGTGAGTTGGTCGCAGGAAGGCCAATTTCGGAGGGCGAACCCAGATCCTGGTGGGGGAGAGCGAAAAGAAACTGTGGCCAGAATGGGATTGACAATGTATGGTTTCTGGGTGTTGTGATGCAAGTGATGTAACTGACGGCGATCAGTGTATCATTAGCATCATGAGGGGCTCAGGAGGCAATGTAAACTGTCTTCTACCAGGGGTGGGATTTCATGTCGATGATAGGAAAGGGGGGACAACGAGCACGAAAAGTGGTCGGACTGGTGGGCATTGAAGTAGCATAGCGTTCGACCGGGGGTTACAAGGAGGTGTGTGCCTCTCAAGACACTGTCGTCTTGTGGAAATGTGATCTGTAAGGGCAGGAGAGGGAACAGAAAAGAGATGATGTGACCCGTTGAGGGCAGGAGTGCTAGGGTAGCTTTGTGAGCAGCATAGTAGCCAGGCGGAAAAGGGGCCCCACATGGGGTTGGTTGGTGTTCATGTGGCAGACGGGCAAATACGTGGTAGGAACAGAGGGATTGCAAGAAATGTTGGAGTTGTCGGGTGCCGTTTTTTTGGTGAAGACGCCCGTCAACCATACGCAAGAGGGCGGAACCCCATTTTCTGTGTTTTTTACCACTATGTTTTTGGATTTCTTTTCCAGGTTCTGTTGTCTTCGAGGAAGGAAGGAAGGGAGGAGGGGAGGAAGCAAGGAAAGAAGAAAGCAAGGAAGAAAGGAAGAAAGGAAGGAAGGAAACAAGAAAGCAAGGAAGAAAGGAAGAAAGGAAGAAAGGAAGAAAGGAAGGAAGCAGGCAAGCAGGCAGGCAGGCGGGCAGGCAGGCAGGCAGGCCGGCGGGCAGGCAGGCAGGCAGGCAGGCAGGCACGCGCGCACGCACGCACGCACGCAGGCACGGCACGCAGGCACGCAGGCACGCAGGCACGCAGGCACGCAGGCACGCAGGCACGCAGGCACGCAGGCAGGCAGGCAGGCAGGGAGGCAGGCAGGCAGGCAAGCAAGCAAGCAAGCAAGCAAGCACATACATACATACATACATACATACATACATTGACATACATACATACATACATACATACATACCTAAAGACACACATACACATGCACATATGCATACATACACATATATTCACATACGTTCACACTGGCTGGTGTATACTGCATTGTGATCTGCAAGAATGCAGCGGGAAGAGCCTTCTCCTTCTCTTGTTCCTTCTCCTCTCTCCTTTGTCTCTTTCTCCTTCTCTTCCTCCCTCTTTTCCTCCTTTGCCTTTTTCTCCTTCTCCTTCTTCTACTCTTCTGTTCCTTGCCTCCTATGCTAGTTTTTGCTCCTTTTCCTTTTTCTCCTTCTCCTTCTACTCTTCTGTCCCTTGCCTCCTGCGCTAGTTCTCTTTCTTCTTCTCTTTGTGGCAACCCCTGACCACAAACAGCGCGGAAAAAGTCGCAAAGCGCTTTGGAAAAACATCCAAAAAATGGTCGCCAAGAGGGCACCCCGTATGGGGTGGGAGTTCATGTGGAGGATAGGTGTAGCGGGGGCGGATGTGATAGGAACAGCGGCAAGCCGCGGCGTGGACAGGAAACAGCGGGGTGTGAAAAGTGGGCTAGCTTTGAGTCGCTTGGGGGTGCCCTGTCTCTATGGTGACGAGGCCTGTTGACTAGAAGTAGAAGGGCGCCCCATATAGGGTGGGAGTTCATGGGGAGGAGGGGCGTCGTGGGGGAGGATGTGATAGGAGCAGAGGCGGGGAGCTCGTCTCTGAAGCGAGTTGCCTCTCGCACGTCACTCTGCTTTCTATTTCCAACCGCAGTAGACATCCCCGCCGTGTCGACTTCCCTCCATAACAGTACGATCCACTCTTAACAGCGCGCCAAGTTTATGATCCATCCGCAAAACATGAGAAACAAACCTCAAACAAGCAATGACCTCGGGGTGCCCTTTTTTCTCTTCTGACTGGATCAACCCCGCCTGATACCCCCCAGCGCTTCCCCTGCACTCTCACGTTCACCTCCGTTGACCGTATTCATATCTTCTTACGGAGGCTGGCTTTCGTCCTCTCCCTTCTCAGGTTTTTGTCTACACTCAGATTCCCACTTTGAGGAGCTCCCTCAAATAGAACATTTTGCAGGACATTCTCTCATGTAAGAAAACAAGACCTCTATACAAGCCTGGCGACAGATGCCAGGTCTTTTTCTTGCGCTACGGATGGGAAGCAAGGCAACGGGCTCCGAGGCGATCCTCTGCGGACACCTTCTCAACAACCAAAATCAGCAGTCTGTGAAGATGTAATATGATGAAAAATTGAACATGATCATGATGAAAGTGACGAAAGAGCGTGAGATCGCGATTTGCGTGTTCCCACAGTTGATTTTTGCAATCGTTCGCCAAAATAACATTAACCCACTTGTAAAGCAGCTGAATACAACAAGGAATGTTTCATTAATCATTTGGTCTTGAACTGCAGACCTTCTTGAATATCAGGGTTCTCCCGTATGATTCTGAGCACTATGTCTTATGTCATATGCAAAGTACAATGTTTAAAGCCTGGTGTAATTCCAGGGCCACCTCGTGGTTGGCAGGCGCTTCGGTCCAGGCCTTTGCTTCGGCCCCTGGCCCCAGCTTAGTTGTGGAGACTCGCCGAAAGCGCAGCGCCAATAGAGCCGTAATCAATTGCTTTCTTCAGTACTCATTGGGGTGGATTGCGCCAATCAGAGTTGGAACTTTGCGAGCCACTTAAAGGCGAATTTACCCGACAAGTCGTCCTTCCCGCTCAGGATCCTTCTAATCTCATCTGGGTGTTCATCCATAGGCGCCAATGAAGACGGACCGCTCGATTTGTCCACCCTCTCGTGTTCTGCTGTGGGATGCAGACGATTTGTTAGAACGCGCTTGGAGCCTGTGAAAAGCAGGATATGTTTCTGTAATACATTTCATTAGCCAAAGTGCCTTGGCTCAAGTTTGATTCCAAGAAAGAAAACGGTCGCTTTTCGTACTTTGGTTGCCATGGCAGAGCTCCCCACTCCTGAAACTCCCAGGCAAGCTTGTGGAGTTGGACGAGGCGATGTGGACGCTCCTCCTGCAGGCTTCTCCGCCTACCGCGCCCTCGCCCTTCGCCAGCGCAAGCGCAAGGACGCAACTACCACAACCCCGGCGCCTCACAATGGCAGAGGCAGTCGCTGGCACTGAACCTCCAATGGACACACCAAGGCATTTCAGGCGGGTTGGTCGCGGGCGGCTTCAAGCAAAACCAGGTCACCTGTGAGCTGGTCGAGAGTGGCTAAGATTGAGGCCCAGCAGGAAGTGATCCTCTGCACACGTCACCTCAGCGTGTACCCGAGCTTGCCCGAGCTGGTTCGCCAGGAGAAGCGCTTTTGTGGGGTGAGGTGCAAAGGAAGCAGCAGGAAAATTGGGAGAAAATGGAGACCCAGGCTGGAGTCAGGAGATGATCGGATGCGGCTGGGGCCCAACCTCCCTCCACCAGAAAGATTTTGAAGAAGAGCGCTCACTTCACAGTCTTTGCAGGCGGTGCTTCAAGCTCCATCGTCCTCCCGATGCGTGGCGCGACTCGTGGTAATCCTGGACGAGCAAGGCTCTGAAATCGTGGCGTTGACACAGTCCTGTTCTGACTTCTAGTCATTTGCATTAGGATTCGACTCAGGAGAAACTAATCAACATGCAAAAGTGCCTGCTGCGCCTGCACTTTTCCGTTGGTTTTTTGATTTGATGTTTCAAGAAACTTAAAATGTGCTGGGAGCCTGTGGAAAGCAGGTTATGTTTCTGTAATACATTTCATTAGCCAAAATGCCCTCAAGTTGATCCCAAGACAGAGAACCACCCCCACCAGTCTGTGGGCTGAACCCGTCAGACGCCTTGGGCACAGACGTCAACAAGCTGAACGACCTGAAACAGATTGTCATCTCAGCACCATCCCAGTGCGGTTTTGACTTCAAGTCATTTGGACCCGACCCAGGAGAAACTAAACCAACATACAAAAGCGAGTGCTTTGCCTGCACTTTTCAGTTGGTTTTTCTGTGAGGGGTTCTTACTCCTTTGAAAGGAATGCGTGACCGGGCCGCATGATTTTACATTCGTCTCCGGGCTTGCGTTCCTGCCGCACTGTGGCTGCTGTGGCCGTATGATTTTATCACCCATTTGTCTCCAACTTGTTCCCTCCCAGTGTCTCCAGTCGTTTGTGGGTGCTTTGGCCGCATGACTTTACACTTGTCTCCCATTTGTCTCCCGTCTCCAGTTTGCTGTGCGTGCTGATTTTACATGTGTTTCCCACTGGTCCCGGTCCCTGGTGGGTGCGCTGGCCGCGTGATTTTACAATCGTGTGGACTTGGACCTGGGCAAAGCAAAAAGGGGTCAACGCTGGTATAAACTGGAGTTGATTTTTAATAAGATTGGGAACTGTATGGAGTCACGGCTCGTTTGGGTTGCCACCGCATGGTCCATGTACACCTATGTGCACCTGCAACTCAGTTTTTGAAGGCGCCTGTTGCTTTTGTATGCACTGGGCGGTCTATGCCTCGGACGGCACCGGGCTTTTAGCGATGGAGGCAGGAAACAGAGACTGAGGTTCTTGAGGTGAATGCCGTATATGCATTGGTGGTTGTTTTATGGGATGAAAACCGTCCTTGGTTGAGTGAGAAGGGCTGAGGAGATTGTGCCTGCCCAATTCCTAGAACAATTTGTGAATCCAAGATGACCGTTCTACCCAAAATCTGGGGAAATCCATTTTAACCGTACGATTTGCTCTCAAAACATCACCCTCAAATGCATTGGTCTTCATCAAACTTTTGACTAGCCTTATGATACCAGGTAGCTGGCACTGGCCTGGTGGCTTTGGCCAAGGTCGGATATGGACCACGGAGGGGGTTTGTGCATCGGTCAAAGAGGTTGGTCAAGACCCTTGTAGATGGGTACTCACAACTTGGTATCAATTCTCAAACTATATCAGTGGTCTTTCTAGCACTCTTTTGAAGCAAACTAGTCCCTTGAAGCAATAGGTTGGAGGCCATTGCTATTAGGTGGGAGGCCAAGCAATAGGCCCACAAAACTCACCAATGTGCTGCAACTACTTGAAACATGCCACAGGACATAGCATACAGTGTTCTTGTGTGCCGCAACCATTGGGTCATTTGTTCGGCTGATATCCCGACAGATTTGGACAGGTAGAATTCGGTAGAATTCTATTTGTCCACGTCAGGCTTTGCTGGCCATTTTGCAACTGATGCTTGCCAAAGGCAGAGTGCAAGTCTTTGCCAATGGCTGATCTGCAATGAAAAGAGATGAACAAGAAGTGGCCTCATTAAAGGGGCCCAAAGACATTTTTTTTCATCTCTATTCTCCATTAACTTCTCCTCTACTTTCTATTCTTACTTGTTTTATAGTCTTTGTATTGATCTTTTGTTTACTCTTTTCTACTTTCTTCACATTTCAGACTTTACATCTGGGTGGCTGGGGGATTGTGTCAGCTTGAGGATGGGCATTGTTTTATTCCCCGCAGCAGCTGTTGCAAAGGCACGTCACGGCACTTCGTTGGAACACGGGGAGGCATGTTGAACATGTTGGGATCTTCCAAAAACTGCATGCAGAGCTGTGAGCTCGCAGCAAGAGAGTATGTTGTAGAAACACTATTTTTTTTCTGGAATGCGTTTTCTTGGTGAACACGACATTCATTCATTGTGACATTTATGCCCTAGCTTGTGTCTCTTTATTCACAAGCAGAATTCCAGTGCCTGGTCGGCAGTCGCTGATCGAGAGAGCCGTACTGACAGCTTCTCACTTTTGTTCTTGCTGGGATTATGGTGGCCGTTGTTTGTTTTGGTTGCCATCATTTTCTTCTCGGCAATTCTGTCAAGATGTTAAGGAAGTAGCATGGCTCTTTGGAGTACCGCAGAGTTCAATTAGCTTTCAGTTGAAGCAGAGTTCCCTGTGAGAATCAGGCAAGCCATCGTGTCTGCAGTCTTGCTGATCGTTGTGATCTCCATTCTCTGTGAGTTGCATGAAGTTCTTTTTCATGACTGGAGCGCCCGGATCTATATGTACGAGGCGGGCAAAACGAAAGAGACAGTGGAAGATCAATGGCTTTGACAAGTACTGCACATTTTATTGGCCAAGTTATGTGTATGCATGCAACACACGCAAAATTATTCTTTTATGGCAGAGTTCCATGAACATAACGTGCATCCTTGCAGACGGACAGATGGACGGACGGCCAGACAGACAGACCGACGGATGGACGGACAGACACGGCTTGGTCTACTAGCTGATCCACATTCCTTTTTGCATTGTTTTAGAATTGTGCGTGCTTGTGCGTAGAATTGGTCGGGCTTCACCATCTTGGTGCTGAACTGCCTCCTCTTCGCTGAGGTGGGGCGAAAATGACCTGACGCCGTCACTCACTGGGCTGTGCTGTGTTCCTCGGTGGAGTCGTCCAGGCTTGGCGCTCCATGCGGGACACCTTCGTGTTGGAGGCGCCAGATAAGTTAAGTTTCCCCAAAATCGTGGTGCTACTTAAGCTGAAGCTTAGTAGCTACTTCCTACCCCCTGGCTTAGATACAACAAAAAAAGGACATACCATTAATACATTAAGAACAAACAGCGGATGCGGTAGAGATGCACGGGAGATGCGACTGGTTTGACAACTTCGAGTTTGGCAACAAGCCTTCTTGTTGTTGTTGTTGTTGTTGTTGCGAGACACACTCCAATCGAGTCGGGTCTGCAATCGGAAGGCTCACAAGTGTCACAAGGGGTATTATTTGACTCTGTACATTTGCTGTTTCTTCAGTGTTCGGCCGTTCCTTTGGCCTGGGGGTTTTGACTTTCCATGTTTGGAGCCGTAGCCACATAGCAAAGACCAGAGAAGTCGGGAGAAAGGGGACAACCAATCAAGTGCAGATGTTCTCGACCAGCGAAGATTTATTGGTATGCAAGAGTTGTCAGATCATTTTCAAACGCTTCGAAACAACAGTTTGAACATTCATTCGCAAAGGAGATTCATTCCTCTTACAGTATCCACACCTGTGTCTCTGGTGCCAGGGAACTGAAGAGATACGGAGGTTTTACGTGCGCCCAGCCTGGCATTGTGCATGCCTTTGTAGTCTTTCAATATTATACCACTACATATCACATATCATTTCTGGTTTTCCTTCATGTTGCATGTGGCAGCTGTAGCATACAAGAGTTCCTCAAAGGAAAAAGACACTCCAGATATAGTACACGGACTCAGGTTGGTTTTGGGATTCCTTTTGTCAGCCATACCCAAGGATCCTCTCGCGGAGTGTCCATGTGCCAGGTCTTTATCTCCTTTGTTAGCATTCTGTGCGCGACTTGGGATTTTCGGGCGGAGCTTTGGTTCTTTGCCATAATTGTTCGTTTTTGCTGCTTATTATGGCCTTTCTGTGCGTTTTTGCTGAAAATGTCTGAAGGTACTTTCTCACCTTGCCCTTGGTCTGCCTGCTGGCCTCCTTGCTTTCGCCCTGGGTTCGCGCCAAGTACGTGGATCGCTGCGAGGCAGGGTTGATCAAATTGCTGTCGAACTTGCTTTGACCACCTTTGCACAGTTGAGATCCCTTGAGATTGGAATGCGCAGCAGGTCGGGTGCCGCTTCTTGGCTACCTTGATATTGGGTCACTTGCTGAGGCTGGCATCATGCGTTACCAAAGATGGGCCACAAACGTGGCAGACATCGGCAGATGGACGGTTTGTATTTTGTCGAAGCCAGATATAGCTTGCATCATGAAAGTGATTCTTCAATGCCTTGCCATTTTTGTCCTCCTCCGAGAAGAAGGAGCGATTCCTTAAAGATGGCAAAAGGATCCAGTCCCGAGGCGATGTTTGTAAACTTTAGTCTCTGATAATTTCTGAAAGGACACGATCAGGTCCAAAGGTGAAGAACAACGCCATGGGGTCAAGCTTCCCAGGCCATCAAGGATGGATGCCATGCTCAATGCGCGGATGGAGGACGCCAATGCTCGGTAAGTTTGGTCCATTCTCCCATCACCGGAATTGACAGCCTTAGAACTTCATGATTTTCCCGCAGATGTTGGGGTTGCAGGGTATCCGATATTGGTCTGCAGCTACGTGCAATATGTGTGGCCAAGCGAGGAGCCAGTGGAGACCGTGGGGGAGCCTGCTGAGGAGGCTCTGGGATTGCTTGTTGTTGCTTGGGTTCTTCTTTGTAACGCACATGGACATTTAGTCGATACCGTGTCACGTTACGTGTAAGGTTTGCTGTTGCTGGGCACTGTTGCCGAGCGTTGTGATCATCTCATGTCGAGCTTCCTTCCGCTCTTGGAGGGACAGATCATCTCCGCTGCGGGCAGCGTCCCGCTCACCGCTTCGTGCAGCCAAGGTGGGCGGATTTGTCACGTTGAGTCGAATCAAATTCTTGATATTGTTACTAGTAGCGATGCCAGGAGCCCCTGGTAGCGTCCTTGCTCCTAGTACTGTAGTAAGGCCAGGAGCCCCTAGTATATAGCTTCAATCATTTCGTTTTCCCAGAATAACTTTATGTAGGCAAACAGATGAATTGATTTGTTTCGTCTGGGTGGCAAGTACAAGAAGAGATTGAAGAAGTTTAGTTGACGCTGTTGCCATTCTATATAATTAATTGTCAGGCTGTTGCGGACCGCAGGCGTAGGGCCTAAGGGTTGATTTAGGTTCATTCCTACTAACACTGACCGTCATGAGAGTGATGATGAGTTGTGAGCTATGAACTAAGAAAGGATCCATTCGAAATCCTGTCGCATCCTTCCTTCCTCGCCAGGAGATTCTGGGGACCAGGTGCGGATCCTCATGAACACGGGTTATTGTTGATCGAAGGAAGACTGCACCACACCAAGTCGCAACTCTCTGGCTTTCAAGGGGTGCAGGAAACCGTAGGAGGATAGACATCGATAAACTTCGATAGGTTTTCCAGTAGGAAACTGTAGGAGACCCAAAGGCTCCGCCATTGCATTTGACCCTGTACTCAATGCGCTTGTTCCATCATGCCAGTGTGGCGATGGGGAGCTTCCTGCTGAGTGACCTGGGATTGCGAAGTGATTCTCAACAACAAAGCAAGAGATACATCAAAGCCAGGTCAAAGCCTTCTAAGATCTTCAAGACTGATAGAGAAGAACGACAAGATGCGGCACGTAGAGTAAGCGTATGCTTGCTGTTTCTGTTGAATGTTGCAGAGCAGAAAAGAAGAACCTACTGCACGGGCACATGACTTGTGGAGAGCATTGTGCGTTGGAATGCTTGGTCGAGCAGCCCTTTGCCCGCACATTGGCTCAAATTAATCCAACTAGCAGCTTGTCTTCAGGCCCTCCTTCACAGCTGCACGCCGGCTGTCGTAAGTTCTACTCCTTACAGGCTCCTTGGCGAGCCTCACGATCTCTCTTTCGTGTTCATCATGAGCTTTGTTGGGCGCAGCTTCGTGGTTGCTTCCCTGGTGGCTCTGTGTCGAGCAGGTAGCATTCGTGGCAGCAGCAGAGAGGAAGGACGCACTATTTCTGTGGAGGAAGTTCAAGCCGGCTTGCAAGCTGCCATGCAAACAGTGTTGGATGGTGATGACGACTCAAGGATGCGTTCTGCTCGCATTGAAGAGCGTGTGTGGCAAACATTTCAGGCTCTACCCAAAAACGATGTGGGTCGCTTGACCCCTCGCGGAGTTCGATACTTGGTGCACAACTACTTCATGAAAGAGCATGGCTGGCTGATTCAGGGCTTGGATCCACATGGAAATCAGGCGAATGTCTCTGAAGTTCATGAGGTGAGCATCTTGCGGGACAAGGCTCCTGCACTTGTTGAGTCATTGTTGGAAGCACGGCGCTCCAATCATGGCCTGGCCCTGACAGACATCGTCACCATGATTGCCGCGTTGGAACGATTGATATTTGATGAATCTTTGGCTTTGCTTCGTGCAGCTTATGCCTTCAACGATGTCAGCATGTTTGGAGAAGTGGAGCAGAGCCGGGTGCACGATGTGCTCACTTCTTACCTTTTGCTCTTTCAGCTGGGCAGCAAAGGAAATTTGTCTGATGCACGGTTGCACCGTGCTTTGAAGGCCAGGGTCTCTCGTAGGGATGACTGGCCTACGGTTGTGGATTTCCAGAAGGATGCGGTGATGAATTTCAACTATGCCGAGAAAGACACCTCCAACCCTTTTGTCGAGCCGCGGTACACTTTCGAGGCAGGGATTGGCAGGATGCATCATGGTCAAGGTGTGGGTTCTATATATATATATATATTTGTATATATACATATATAATATATTACGAAAGCCAGCCGAAGGCTTAGGCTGGAGGGTCTGTATATGGCGAAGCTATTCTGGGAGGTGAGGCCGGAATAGGGTGGGGGAACGGAAAAAAGGACACATGGACGAACACACGATGTCAATAATGCAGTGTTCCCCGGCCGGCATATCCGGCATCGCGAAGATTTGGTCCGAAACCACGTCAATTTTTATCAATCTTGAAAGATGGACTTTTCCTTTCAAGTCTTGGGCCTATTGCCCACGGTCGGCATGCTTGTCGATTGCGCGTGTCAATGCTCAAATGACTGTCTAGTCGTGCGTTTCATGCAGACTCTTCGCAACAGTAGAGTACAACATGTTCGCAAACTGTGGAAATAGCGAGGTTATTGATAGTCATGGTGCAGCAAACTACGTAAATTATCTTGTTTTGCTCTTTCAAAGATGTTGAAGCAGACATGGTTTTTAGCTTAAAGTGACCGAGGACTAAACCTGACCTCCCCTTTTTGGAAAATCAGCGGGTCAGGTTTCAGCTGATTCAAGTCGTGTGTTGCCAAGAGTGTTGTTCGAAGAGTCTCTCAAGAGAGTTTTTCATCAAGAGTGTGTGGCGAAGAGTGTCTTCACAAGATCGTCACTTTGAGAGTGGTTGACAAAGAATGTCTTTTTTGGCAAGTTTACCCAGGGGGTAGCACGCTACTTTGGATTTTTGCCTTTGTCTTTGGAATCACATTGTCCAGTCCCGGGTATTTTTGATTCTGGGTGCTTTTGCGCCGCCTTGACTACCAGGATTTGCACATCCTCCATTCACAACAGAGCTACTCAATGACTCTGACCTAAGTTGTTTAAAAACGCGTGTTTTGTAAACGCCAGGCCCAAACAACACGCAGCTAGAATTTGTAAACGCGACCATTAAAAAACGCAAGGGCTTGTTAAAGGATTTGAAGGTGGAGATTTCAAGTTATCAATGGTGTAGATGCTTTTTCAAGAAGAGTGAAATTGCATGTGAGTAACCAGACAAAAGGTCGGTGATGAAGGTATCACATTGGAGTTCCCAGGGTTCGTGAAACATGCATGGGCGACAGAGGTGAAGAACCAGGACCAGAAGCGATGACATTTACTGAGCGCTTCTGGGCTCGAGCATAGTTGTGATTCCCTTAGTTGACTGATGTCATCGATGATTCCTCACCACTTGTTGCCGTTGCCGCTTCGTCCAGTGGCAAAGGTAGGCCTGTTGGTGGGCCACTTTGTTCTTGGTGTGGCACAGCTGAATGAGTCCGGTACAGACGGTGCCAGTGGCCGCCGTGGAAGGCCTCGCAAAGGAGAATCAGTTCAGACGAAGGCTTCTGGACGCTTCGGGGGTCAAGCTCGAAAGGCCCCGTTGATGAAAAAGTTGCATGAGCATGTGGGAGCTACTGCAGTGTTTGTTGTTTTGCCCATGCGTTTTGGGCCTTGTGAGAAATGCATTTGCAGATTTTTGGTCAGAGTGGTCGAAGGCTGAAAGCAATTGCCGATTCCTATCCGCTTGATTCAGACCTATGGGGAGTGCACAACAGTGCTTGTGCCTGAGACTGGGCCTGTTCAAGATGTCACGAAGAACTTCGTAGTTGTGCGATGCGCATACAAGAAGAAGAAAGCTTCCTTCGAGGGGGAGGAGGGAGTGACTTCGCTATGGGTCTGCAAGACATGCCTGTGGCACGAGAAATGCCCCTCGCACAACCGCGCTTTGGCGCACAAGCTCGGCCCCGTGACCCACCAAGCGTGGTTGGATTCTGGTCCTCTTAGACCTCGACGAGAACCATGTGCTTTGGCTGAAAATGTGAAGAAGCAATTGCACGAAATCACTCGCGCCACTCATGGAAATGCAAGGGTGAAGGCTTGTGAGCAGTTGCTTCCACAAGAGACCGTAGCTTCTTTAGCTATGACTGGGGTGACCTTGGCCAAAACTTACTGCTCCTTCCAGATGTGGGATAGTTTGGAGGAAGCAGAGCCAGGAGGGCAGCCTCTGAATTTGGAACGGGCCAAATTGCTCGAAGCCCTGGAGATTGTTGAAACTCAGTCTTCTTTCTCACGAGCAAATCATCCTCGCCGGAATGAGCTTTTAGCGTATGTTTCCAGTGGCGCTTACAAAGGTGCGAAGATTGAAGTTGAAACTTGAAATGCTTTTTTCAATCCGTGGAAAACGCATTTGGGTGTTGGAATTATTGTGGATCACATAGGAGCTTATATGCGTTTATTTTTTGTGCGAAAAAGCATTGGGGGTTTGGCCTTGCCTTCTTTCTTTGCAGGCACGAACCGGCAAGAAGTGGCCAAGATTTTGAAGACGCTATACCGCCAGTGCTGTGACCATGCCCTTGCTATGGCGCGGAATTCCTTGTGCACATTGACCTTTGATGGCATGTTCAACCAGGGCTACAACATGACCAACTTTTGGGCTGTGAATGCTGGGTGCAGGCACCACTTGCGCGCAAAGGACTTTTCGTGGAAAGTGCAAGATGCTGCGACCCTAGCAAATGAAGTAGCTGGCCTTGCCAATAGCTTGGGCGTGGAGATGATTGCCTGCGTATGCACCGACAGGCCGAGAGTGATGAGAGCTGCGCGCAGGGGCTTCCTCAAGAGTCCAGGCGGGGAGCTTCTTAGTCCTCTGTACGGGTAATCAAAAGCATAGGACAGTGGTTCCTGCAGATGCGTTTTTCTCATGGCCAAAAAAGCATTTGAGGCTTGAGGCTTTGAACCCTTTCTACAATGTTTTCTTGTGGCAGGAACTTCGCGGATCACCTGGTGCTTTTGCTTGGAGCATGGTGGCCACACTTTGGCCAAAAAGCTGCTGAAAGTTTTCCCATGGATGCATAAAGCTTCGAAGGATTTGAAGAAAATGCTGGCGTTTCAGTCTCGCAAGAAGAGGCTTCGCTGCTTACTCCGCGACCGAATCGCTCGGTCCAGCAAGCCCAGGAAGATTCACTTGAAAGTGCCTCGTTCTACACGTTTCTGCTCTATGCAAGCCAGCGGCGTGGCCTTCATGTGGAACCTTGAGGACATTCAAGTCCGCAGTTGCTCCAGGTGTGCAGCGTAAAAAAAAATTGTCCCACATCAAAAAACAATAGTTTAATGATTGTTCTCTGGGGCAGTCTATGTTTGGAAATGCGTGTGGCCCGATAAAGCCAGATGCGTTTCTCCAGGACGACTATAATTGCGCCTGTACCTTTTTTGGAGAATCTTCCTGTTAGGCGGGCGGCCGACGGAGGCCTTCAAGAGCATGAAAGCTGGTGAGGGCGGTGACGAGTTTGTCCGCGTGATCCACGACCGGAACCTGACTAATCCCATTGGTCGATTGACGCTATTCCTGCAGCCCCTCACCACATTTGTTCGAATGGCAGGGCGAGGTGTCATGTCTGAGGCGGTGATGCTTTGGTACAACATGGAGACCCAGATGGACTTTCTCACTGGCAAGTTTGACTTTGTGCGCCGGGGTGAGGCGAACGAAGCTTTGACAGAGAGGCGCCACCTGTGGCGTCAGTGGACAGAGCACTACCGTGATGGAGGCCTAGCCCCTGGACGAAAAGAAGACAAAGTGAAAGACCCGGGCTTCCTTCAGGATGCTCACTATTGTGCCTTTTTGCTTGACCCACGCATGTATCAGCTAGCGAGGCAGCATGCTCGTACTGCACCTTCTCTTCGCAAGGGCCTTCCTCGAGCCAATCTCCACGAGGTGCGTGTCGCCTGTGCAGATCGCATGGTTCCCTACTTGCATACCTTCTTTGCAAACAATGCCTACGCCTTGGGGCGTGCAATTGCAGAGTGGCAGGACAGCGGTGAAACCAGAAATCAGCCTGGTTCTCCTATATGCGTTTTTCTTTGATAAAAAAAGCAAACGAAGTTAGTTGCTCCATATGCATTTTTTCATGGCTAAAAAAGCATTCGAAGTGTGTACCTGCAGATGCGTTTTTTAGATGGAAAAAAAAGCGTCGGAACAGATGACGCTGCGAGCATCCAGGACTTTGAGGGACGCAAAGGGGTCTTTGCAAATGTCGACTTCCGAGTGCAGCTTGATGACGACATGCAATCCTGGTGGCGGCGAACCAAATCGACTTGGCTGTCAGAGGTTGCGCTCCACGTCGCGGCCATGTGCCCGACCAACCAAGCTGCTGAACATGGGTGGGCTCACTTGTGCCGAGTCACAACGCCAGTGCGAAACAGATTGTCAATGGATACGCGTTCGATGCTCGCAACAGTGCAGCATCATGCCCACCACGTGCATCCTTATGTGCAAAACCAGGCTCCTGCTCAGAGCCAGAAGAAGCGCAAAAGCTGGGTACCACCTTCGCTCCGCTTTGATGTGAAGCTGACAATCGAAGATTGTCGAAGGCACGCAGGTGCGGATGGCGCCGAGCTGGGGCCTGGAAAGCTGCAATCGCCTCTTGAAGCCGATGATGTGGACTCCATGGACAGTCACTCCAGCTCGTCAACCTCTGAGGAGGACTCCTCGGACGAGTCTCAGGGTTCGGAAGGCGACGTGCCGCCTTGTGTGCCTTGCGATCCTTTTGTCCAAGTTTCCGAAGATGACTTGGAGCACAACCTTCGCAGTGAGATGTGAGAAATGAGAGACATGTTCAATGCCGTGCGCTGGGGAATGGAAAGAAGACATTTGATCTATCTATATATATATATGTATTTATACTTATATACTATCTACATATACTAGATACATATGTATATCGTCTATATATATACACACTACACAAGTAGATGCGTTTTGCAGCATGACCGAAATGCATGTGGACTGCCGCCAACCAAAAGCAGTGAAAACACGCACAAAAAACGCCAAAAAAAAACGCTACTCCAGCGCACACCAAAAACGCACAAAACGCCAAAAAACGCACCTGTCGAAAACGCGTGTTTTCTTACCACTTAGACTCTGACTCATTTTGCGTCGCAGGCGCCTGGCTTTTCTGCTCGGGGGCTGGCTTTCGTCTCCCCCCCTTCTCAGGTATATATATATATACATACGCGTATCACGAAAGCCATCCGATAGGCAAGGCTTGAGATTGCTGGAGCGACGAAGTGAGAAAAGATGGTGTCCCACCCCGCGACCACCCCCCCACCACGACCACCCCCCCACCACAGTGTGGTGGGGGGGTGGTCGCGAGATGGCCAATTTCGGAGAGGTGAACCCAGATCCTGGTGGGGGAGAGCAAAAAAACAGGTGGGCCTCTTGTGATGCCGGTGATGTAATTGACGGCGAAGAGTGCATCATCGCCACGAGGGGCTCAGGAGGCCATGGAAAGAGAACAGATTGTAGATGCGGCTAAGCTTAGCGTTGCTGCCGGACTGAAGGGGGCCCTCCCCATGTTGGGCAGAGAGGCTAGGCTTGAGGTAGGGGATCGAACGAAATGAGTTAAAGGGGGGTGGTCACAAGGTGTGGGGGGTGAGGTGTAATCTTGCACAGATATTGAACTGTTTTGTACTTGTGAGACTGCGCGTTGCATCCATACCACAGAGGTTGGCAGTTTGGCGCCATTTGAAGTGGCCAGCTGTTGCTGGAAACCATAGCGCTTATTCCAAACTACATTCCAAATTGGAACAAGGGCGATATCTAATCGCGAAAGCCAGCCGTTCAACTCACTTAAAACATAGACCAACACACCATACCAAACGTTCCCCAGACTAGAAGGGTGCCCTTTGTCCCCTCCGCAACGCCCCGACATCGAGACGCAAAAGATGACCCGTCCGACCGTCTCTGGTCACTCATTGCCAACGCGCAGCCGACAAACTCACATAAAATTTTGAGGGTGCCCTTTTTCACCTCCAAAACATTCCTGACCCCGGACGAAAAGGGGCGCCCCTTTTAATTCTACCGTCTGTTTCTACACCACTGCTGGCTACTCTTTGTACACTCTACCCACATACACACATATATGTATATATATATATATATACATCCTCACCTACCCTACCCATAGCCTCGCACATCAATCCCCACCGCCGTTTTTGCTCACTGATTCGCAAGACGCCGCCGGCAAGCGCGCCTCACTTCCTTAAGGGTGCCCTTTCACTTCCAAATCGTCCCTAAACCGGGACGAAAAAGGGCACCTCCCCCCCAAACCTATGTCTTCTACTTTCTATTTCTACACCTTATCCGTGCGGCTGCGATGTCAACTTCACTCCATGATATTAATTTTGCCCGATGTTACCCCATCACTTCCTCTTGCACGCCAAGTCTTTGCCCGGGCTTGCCCCGAGGGCACCCCCTAAGCCAGAGGCTGGCTTTCGTCCCCACCTTTCTCAGGTATTTACATATGCATATATAACTATGTATATGCCATGATGATTTATGCGATGACATGCCAGTATTGAGC